GGCTTGTACAAAATTCCTACATTACCTAAAAATAACAAAGTAGCACATTTGGGAAACGTTACGCAGGAGGTGCCTGCACAAGCTCATCATGTGCATAATATGTTTCCTGTGTGTACTTCTTATATCTCTTCCTGAAAATGTAGCCTCCCTGAGACCAATTTTGAAGGATTGTCAGGATTTTTTTTTGCCTTTGCTAAGATATGTAAAAACCTACCGGTCCCTGTGCAGCAGAATGGTGTGATGTTCATGGGATACTCAGCAGCAGAAAACAGAGGGCTGTGCTCCTTCACTCCTTCAACAGCTATTCCCCTTGGTGCCGCACCGTGATCAAACCAAGGCAGATTAGCAACAACGACGAAAAAAAGCCCATTCCTCCCACCCACTGGCTCTAACAGGGCAACATGTCAGTTGTGTGTCTGGCTGGAAAAGAAACCCATCTGGTAGGTGATACTAAAACTCAAAGAGCTGCTCATTTGGTTCAGAAAGCTTCCCTCCCTTTTTCCAATGATTCAGGATGCATTACAGTAAGCAAGGCTGGATAACACACAATAATTGCTTCTGGGTGATAAATGGGAGGGCTTACTGAGGGTTATTCAGCCCTAACTGCACTCTCCCAGACTTCTTGGTGTTTTGAAGACTTCACAACACCTTCAAACCCAGCAGCACTTTCCTCCAGCTCTGCAGTCACAGGTTCAAGGAGTGTCAGTGACTTTGTTCAGGTGTAAGGGCCCAGGAGAATCCAGTGGTTAATTTTTAGGTTACATCTAGTTTATTTAAGCCTGGTTAATCATCTCAGTTGGATTTTGTTTCTTTCTTTCTTTTTTTTTTTTTTTCTTTTATTTTTGTTCTCCAGGTCATACCATAGAAGTAAACCAGAAGACAATTTTTCAAGTAGAGGGCTTGTTCCTGCAGTCTTTACTTTTGCGAAAGTCCTTTTGTAACTGAGGAAATATAAATGAGGGGAAGGCACAGCACCAAAATGTCCTGTTTTTTAGGGGCTGTGAGAAAAGCAAGTGAGCAAAATAAGGTAACATAAACAGGAAAGGAAAAGGAGCTCCACAGTCCTGTAAACCTAGGCGTAAACATCTCCTTTTTGTAAGAAATTTTTCTTTTGTATTTGTGACACACCACTTACAGTCCCACCATGCAAAGGTCTGCACAGGGAAAAGTGGGAAGGTGAGCTGAGATTAACCCTTCCTTTGCTGGAGATTGGAGAACATGTTTGCATCAGCATCAGGGAATTTTGCATTTTACTTGAGGACTGGGCTTATAGCCTGCCAATATTTGCAAATCCACCTCCTTTCCACAATTGCCCCCACACCGTAGAGCTTTTATCTTTAAACTTTATTATTCATCTGTCTATAAATAAAAGAGACTGCTTACTTAAATTGTCTTCATCCTCCATGGTGGTTGTGCCAGGACTCAGGTACTTGAAGGGTGCTATGAAGGTTGACAGTATGCTTACTTTTTCTAGAAAAAAACAGAAGAAAAGAGACATATAAAATCAGTATTTTGTCCGTGCATTCCGATCTACTCCACACTTTTTCTCAGGTGAAAACATCTCGTCAAGTCTGTTTCTTTTTTGTTTTTCCTGACTCTACAGCCCTGCCAAAATTCACAGAACTGCAATACATTTACAGCTGGCACGCGCAAACACCAAACGCACGTCCCTCCTGGTTTCTGCCCCTGTGTAGTGCTCCTTGGCCATGCTTCCCAGCAACGGTGCCCAAACACTGCAGAGCTGGGAATGCAGGAGGCTTGAGCTGGTCCAGCTGGGAATGGGGGAGGAGGGCGAGAGCTGGAGGCGGTCAGCCCTGGGAGGAGGGACATGAGAACTGCTCTAATGGATGAGACCATCACCTCCTCTTGTTTCCTCTCCCTGACAGAGGCTGAATCAGAAATCTCAGAGAAGCTCAAGAGTTGATGGCACAAAAGACTACAACTGCTTCTAATTCTTCTAGAAATCGTTGATTTGATTTTTGGAAAACCTTTATGGTGTGCACAGGAAGCTATTATCCAAACAATAAGAATCCTATTTGAAATCCTTCTTATTCACATTCATTTTAAGTGTAGCTCCTTCTACCTGCAGTTTCTGTTTATTGTGCAGATAATAGATGGCACAGAAATTTCCTGCCAGTGCCACGATCAGCCTCTGCATTAGTTGCCAGGACAGATTCAGTAAAATGAGAACTGATACTGGTTTACGCTAGCTCAAATTTTGGATCAGGATTTATCTATTGGGAAAAGTTGCTGTTAACACAAACACTACAAATAGGGATATACTGAAGATATGTGTTTTATTTAGTTTGTTGACTACTTTATTTAATTTGTTGTTCAGTTTGTTTAGGCTGAATTCCTCCTGACAAACTATGGGTACTTTGCTGAGGACCTACATCAACAGGGTGTCTACCTTAGGTAGCCGAAGAAACAGAAACACATCTTACAGAAGTGATCCATAGCTTTGAAGGACTTAGTTGCTTTCCTAAAGTACTTCTCTGCTTAGAAAGCCTCAGTTAGGTGGAAATGCTCTGAATCCTGCACATTGTGAACAACGCTGGGCTTTCATCTTGTGGCAGAAGCATCAAAAACCAAACCAAGAATGTCTTCTTTCAAGTGACACAGGAAAAATGACTTCCATGGGGACTTTCTTTATTGGTGAGAAAGTATTTCTCTGAATTTCCTTGAACTACCTTGCTGCTAATCTACCACTGGTCTGGAAGGCATTCCAGCTGAAGAGCTCTTAAACTTCTTCAGCAGCACATCTGTTAGCTTTTCAACCTGGTTCTTCCTACATTTGCAAATAATCTTTGCTCTTGTTAAAGACTGTTATCAGAATCCATCAAAAATGACTGCAGATATTTGCCCTTAGCTAGGTAACACTGCAACTCAACTCTATTATGAAAAAGCACAGTAAAAGCTGACTGCTCTTTGTTAAGTAAATACAATAAGCAGAATAAAAGATTGCCTGAAGAAAACCTCTTCCAGAAACCTTTCAGCCCAGACTAATATATAATTAGAGCACAAATTAGCCTCCTTGAATTGCAATTTCATTAAGGGATCGTAGTGATGTCATGAACCAAAAGAATGAAGCTATTTATGAATGCTTTAGCCAAAAGATTTTCCTAAGTGTATACTTTGTCACTTTTTGCTAAGGCATTGCTCACTGAGAAACGTGGTATCTCTGTACCACACTATCTCAGTGCGTGTGAGACTGTTGGGTTGTGATCAGGATAAAAGCTGTTATTCACTCCCGACTTTCTCAACTGGTTTCTTTGATTAAAGTGAAAAGAGTGTAGGCTTTTGGGACCTAATCCAAAGGCTACGTTTGGTAAGGGGAATGCTTCAGATGATAGACATAGGATCAGTGCCGTCCTTGGCTTCAGCACCAGCAACGACTGTTGTGTCTGGATACTGAGATGCAGTGAGCTGAAGTGTACTCCACCCGTGCCAGACTGCTGACGGCTGTCTGACCTTCAGAACTAACCCTCAAGACACTGGATGTTGTACACAAACGTAAGGCTTCTTTGCTAAGAAAATATTCTCACTTCTCATAGAGAGTTAATCCATTAACCAAGCAATGAGGACATGTGCTTCCTTGCTGAGGTTGCTGAAGCCTACTCCTGCCACCAATCAAAAAGCAAAACCATGTAGTTTTATACTATACTATTATTAGGTAAAGGAATATTCTATGATTTATCTTTCACCCCAACCAATTTTGTGCAGTCGATAGGCGAGATTTACAACGCGGATTTAAAATTTATGAAATTATTTTCCCTTTTGCCTTAAAGGATCCTTTAGCCATCTTAAGCTTTTGTTGTTACTGTTTCCCGCCTGTCCCCAAAGACCTTGCTGGTGCCTTTATTTTGTGTGGCAGAGAAACGGGATGGCCTGTAAAATTTACGGCACTCTTAGAGCAGCAATGGATGGGTTCGTGTCAACCAAACTCAGGCAGGCCCTAATAACAGGATATCCTTCAATCAATACAGATGATAAAGATTATAATTTAATGTTTTAATCCATTGGTTGAGCAATGGAAAATTTAGTTTGTATCTGGAAGGTGGAGGAGGGCAGGGTTTTTGTGTGAGCAATGTAAGAAGAGAAGAGCCGTAGTATGCACAAAGCACAGATGAATTATCAAGCCTATGGAGGAGGGGAAGATAGATGACAAGATAATTAAACGTAGGTGTTTACAGGGAAATAATCTGGCTAGGTATAAAACTATTGGTATGATTGGGCACTTCCATCTTTTGCATGTTATTGCCTATTACCATATGTATACCATTGTCAACAGTGAAATTCAGTGTTGTTTTTCTTTACCATTTCAGAACAAGATTAGGAGAGTTGTGTATTCACACTTTACAGTCTCCATGTATTTTAATGTCTATCACAATTAGTCTTATTTCCAGCAGTTTGGTGAAAACTTATGAATAAGAACAAAGGACATGGCTGGATAGGAAAAAGCCATACAGAGAAATACCTTTAAAGCCTCATTTTTTCTCTCACTCTCTTCTTCTATGATTTTTTTTTTTTCCCCAAAAAGAAGTAATGACAGGTAGCCCAAAATTAGAGTGGCTATTTTTACTTTATAATTGTAAATGTTCTCTGTATTTGCCTGAGGAAATTATTTTTCAAGGCTAGGAGAGAGGGTTTAAGAGAAGAAAACAAGACATTTCAAAACCTCTTTTCTCCAGAAAGGCAGAATACATAACCCTACATTTATGAGAATCTATACAAGGAGGTTATTGCTTGCATTACAATTGTAGGAAAAGCCTCCGATGACACGAAGGAGCTATTTCATGAGGGCCTACATGGACACAAAGGAAGCTGTATTTACAATGGAAATTGAGAGACAAAGAGCAGGTATAGTGGGATTTATTTCTAGCCACCCTGGAACACTAACGCAAGATGATAGCATCATATTTTGTAGCGTATTCACTGTAAAAACATCCTTCCAAGTGATGCCAAGTGGAACTCTGCTCCAGAACCCTAAGCACAAAAATCACCATTTTTCCTGATGAGAAGCCCGTTATAGGAAGAAACCTCACTCTCCTCTGTTTTGGGATGGAAAAGGATTTCAGTTCACGCTTCTTAAGTATATATTTTCCAACAACAGCAAATAGTTAAAAAATAATTATGAACACTGTTTTGACAGTAGCCATATAAATCATTTAAACAAATCAAAAAACCATTGGCCAAGATATGTTTTGCATGAAAAACAGAAAATGATTTAGTCCAAATGATTCAGCAAAGCCTGGCACATAAGGCAGCCAAGTTTCCACTAAAATCTGCTCTTTTTGTGAAGTTGCTCTTGTCCTGTGGATGCAGTCAGAAGACTGGTCACAGGTCCTGTAAATACTCTTTTATTGTGAAGACAGGAATACACATATACAGCTATAAACAGCATTCGTGCCCTTCATACCTATCAGTATTTAGAGGGCACCAGAAAATACGGCTTGATCATCAGACGTACTGAAGTTCTTTCACTCTCAATCACCTGAATAAAAGCAATGGGAACAGCTGGAGCTCAACACTTTTAAAAATCAGGCCTTATACATGTTGGGGAAATTGTTTAGCTTTAAGAAGAGCAGACTGAGTGGGGTCATAACAACAGTCTTCAAATACATAAAAAGCCACTGCATAGAAAAAAGGAGCAAACCGTATTCCATGTGCATTAACACAACTAGAAGTAATGGACTTAAATTGCACCAAGGAAAATTCACTTTAAACATTAAAAAGCCTTCCTAACAGTTAGGGTAGTGCAGCACTGGAATAGATGGTCTAGTGGGGAGGTTGAGGTGCCATTGGTGGCGAAGGGCTGTCGGAAGACGGTTGGCGTCGGCAGGGTGTTGCACCTGGGTCCATCCCTTGTAGTCTCTCTCTTATCCCTGTGGACCCCAGTAGAAAAACTCATCCTGGCCTTGAGATCACGCAGCAGGTTCGAGCTCAAACTAGCAGTATTTGCTAATATTAGCTAATCTCTGAGCAGAAGCTTGTGGCATGCTCTTTTGCTTGGCAGCTAATGAGCACTATTAATAAATGTTTTTTAAAATGCAACTTCTGAACACAAGAAGGATTAGACAGATGGCTACCAGTGGTTTGCCAGACCAGCGTTAGCAATGTTTTACTGAATTAGTTTCATTCTCATATTCTAATTGGTTACCATAAACTACTTCACTTGTTAGAGGTTTCTTTAATAGCATTCTTTTAAAAACACAATGCGGACATTATAAACCAGTCCTAAATAATTCATTTGTTTGTATGGAGTACGAAATTACTCAGGAAGGGTCAATTCTGATGCAATAATGTAAACTCAGCTGCAAAAACTCCTGGAAAAAAACTTATTTTTATTTCTCTAAAGCAGTATTTGCAGCTACTCAAATAGTTACATTTTTATAGTTGTGTTAGCCTTGATTTATTTTGAAATGGGGGGATACAGGGAGAGAAGAGAGCCTGCGCATCAGGAGATGATT